TTTTATTCTTTCTTACTATAACCACCATATATAAGAAGTTTATTTTCAGGAATCGGCAACAGTATGCTTCCAGATCTTGGAAGTGGTGGAATACCTATAATTTTATATATTTTTAATAATATAATAATTATTATTTTAATAATACAACTTTAAAAGCAAATTTTTCATTTTTCAAGATTTTACCAGATAATTCAATTTTATGCCATATATATGTTTCAAGATCAAATATATGTACATCATTATAATATTTATAATCTTTCAAATTGTCATGAAAACCACCAAAAATTACCAATTGTTTTTTTATATGAACCATTCTGTGACCACTTCTAGCTGATGGTCCACCAGGACGTCTTAAAAAAAAAAATAAATAAATAAGAAAAACGAATAAGAATATTTAATAGTAAAATATTAAAAAATATTATAACATACAAAATTTTTATCCATTCTTTTCTGCAAATCGATAAACCCATAAATCTTTGTAGTGATAAAATTGTGATTCTGAAGGACTCGAAAATTCACCACCAAATATCCAAAGTTCTCCTTTATTTGCAGCTGTAGTTATTGCTTGATGACCACAACGTGGAGGTGGAGCACCAGGTACTTTTATAATCATCCATTCATTTTTGTTTAAATTATATATAAACATATCACCATAAACAAATGTCTAAAGATAATTGAGATTTATTAAATAATTTACAAAATATATTAAAATAATTAATTAAAATAAATCTTATTTTTATTTAGTAAAATTTTATACTATAAATTTTATAATATATTTTTAATTTACCATTCGTCCATCATGAAATTCTCCACCAAACATAATAAGTTCATCTTTGAAAGGATGTGTTGTTAAGGTAAAATTTATACGTCTAGATGGTGGTGCTACAGTTTTTTTCAATAATACATTGTCTTTTAGCTTCTTCTTTTTTCAATTTGAGCAATAATATTTTCTATGTCATCCTAAAATAATATAAAAATAAATCAGTATTGTATTTTTGTGTTATTTAATTTGGAATTATGATTACATTGAATAAAAATGTTTATCTTTTATTTTAAATTAAATACATCTTAAATTATAAAAATTTTATAATTTATAAATTTTTAAAAAATGCTTTATAAATTTATAAAAATGCCTTATATTATATATTTATCTAACCTCGCCAAGTTTAGCTAATTCTTTTTTCTGTTTAGCATTCAACTTCTTTTCAGTTTTAAGTGCAGTTTTTTCATTACCACTTATTTTTTTTTGTTTTTATCTTTTTTACCCATTGTATTTAATAAATTTTTTTTAAAGTAGAAAACACTTAATTTTGAAATCTCAATTTTTTACGATATAAATATATTTGTTTAAACTGCGGGTCATAGATTAAACTTATGAATAGCTAGAAATAGGAACGAAAATAAGAACATCTGAGTTCCTTTTTTTGTAATATTTCTTTTTATTTTTGTCGTTTTATATATATATATATATATAAATACCATAAAATTTATAATATGACTTGTATAATAACAAGATGAAGATTAAATATTCATAAGCACAGTTTTACATAATTAAAATAAATCATCTATCTAATGTTATATGTGGGCAAATAATAAGTTTTTATTTTCGAAGCAATATATAAATATTTACGAAATGAAATTTAATTATTATTAAATCTAAAATATATATTTTATTTTATTTTATTATTTTTCATATTTTATTTTTATAATTTTTATAATTTTATATTTTATAATTAAATATAACTATAATTAAATATATTTTGGAAATTATAATTTTAAAATATTGATAATTTAATTTAATTATTATCTTATTTTTTTATTTTACTTTATTTTTTTAATTTAAAAAATAATAAGAATATATTAATACACAAATGTCTAAAAAAAAATCATTTATTTATAATTATTGATTGTTTTATTATATTTTTATTTTATCATGATCTATTAATAAATTATTTCTTTTATAATATAATATAATCATAAATTAGTACACATGATTGCATAATTATTCAAAAATTATATATATAATAATTGTTATATTTTTGCTAAAGAGCATGTGATGTTTTAATTATTCCATCTTTTATTTTGATATAAATGAAAACAATTTTTCTCTTCAACATTTGAATTAATTGTTATGTTATAGAATTCAAAATAAATTATAAAAAATTTTTTTAATTTTTATAAATTATCTTCAAAATAATTATCATTTCTACCTCTATTACTTATTATTATTATTATTATTACTTATTATTATTATTACTATTATTATTATTATTATTTATTTGTAATAGCTTAATTTGTAAAGCTTATCTTTCTGTTTCTTTTGACATTTGAGAAATATATATATATATTCTGCCATTCTTTTTTTTTAAATATATTTTAAAATTTTTTTTTTAAATTAACAATAAAAAATGATTTAAAGAAAAATTTCAATCATTATGATAAAGTAAGCTATTGCTTTCTTTACTTTGTGAGATTTATTTTATGGTCTTATATAGAAGTTCTATTCATTTTAAAAATACAATGTTAAACTTTTCTATCTTTTTCCAAATGACATATTGATGATTAATAACTGAAATTTATTCAATATAACTTGATATAGAAGATAGAGAAGTCCTGATATAAATATATAAAGATTATAATTTTAATTTTGAATTCATAATATATATTAAAATAATATATATAACAAAACATCCGTTATTCCTTCCATTTTTACTTCATTTTAATATAAATCACGATATTAATTATATCAATTATATATTTTTCATAATATTTTCAATGAACTGAATTCGTGGATTCGTATGCCTGTAATAATCTTAATAATAATAAATAGTGACTAAATCCAACTGTAGAATGCACCACTAGTTTTGCATTCTAATATGGTTGAAATTCTAGAATTCAGTTTTTTATGTTTAGTTTTAATCTTGTGATATTAAACATTATTTTTTAAATTTATAGTAAGTAAATATAATTTAATCAATATATTTACATTATGTGAAATTTTTATGATATATTATCATATATAATAAATATTATCATATATATTAACTAATAATACAATGAAACAATCATTGTAATACACTTACATAGTTCAATATTTTGTATAATAATGAGAAGATCGTGAAGAAAATTAGATATTTCTTAACATAAATATAAAATCTTTTTTTTATATGGATAATAGTTATGTTTTCAATTTTCCATGAAATAAAAAATAATTTAAAATACTAAATACTAAAAATACTTCAAAATTTACTTTTTAATATCGATATGTTAATTACTATTACTCTATGTTACTTAAAAAAAAAATAGAATTTTGTAATATGTTTTTATATTATGGTTTTAGTTTTACAATTTATTTAAAAAATTTTTTTCTTTATAATTTTTTTTTATATAACAATTTTTATTTTATTACTTAATCTCTTCCAATGATATAAATTTTGTTTCTTTATTTAAAATATAATTTTCAAATTATACTTTTATTTAAAAGTAATTTAGATTTATATTTATATTTATTTAAAAATAATATAAACATTTTAAATATTAACATAAGATTAAATTTTTTTTTAAATTTTGTCAATTTTATTTCTAATATTTATCTCAAATATTTATATATTTATTTATTATATTATTTATTAATTATATAAAATTATAGTAGATTATTTATAATTATATAAAATTTTAATAATAAATTATTCTTTGACTTTGGTTACCAAAAATGTGTTATTATTTCTTAATAATATTTAATAAATAAAACTTAAAAATATTAGTTTTAATTTTAGGAATTTATAATATCAAAAGTTATATATTTTTATTATTGATATTAATTTATATTATTGATATATAGATATATTCATATTATATAGATAATATTGATAATGAAAAATATATAATATTTATCTAATAATAAGAAAAAACGAATACCTTACATTAACTTATTGATAGGACTATAATTAATCCAGATTTTTGTAATGTAGCTTTCTGTAATTTTAAGATATTAAATATTATTTATTAAACAATGTTTATGAAACAATGTTTAAATTGTTTTAATTTTATTTCCACTCTGCAAACTAAATCAATTATAATTATATAAATTGAATTATATTTAATTATTCATAGTTTTTTATAAAATGATTTAATATTAAGATTAATATTTTTAAAATTTATTTGTCAAATAATATCAAAAGATATTAAAAAAAATCCATAATTTTTGATGCCTTAAGATAAATTTTTTTTATATATATTATTTATATATAATTACTAAAAATTATATATATACTAAGTCAATTTTTCTAAAAAATATTAATTATCTATATATTGCATTACAATTTGGAGAGCATTGAAGTTTGTATTGATTATTTATATAGATAATATTGCTATATGTAATCAGATTAAATAAATATAATAACTAAATTATTTTTCGGAACTATTAAAATGAAATTATATTATAGTTTTTATATATATATGTTAAATATATATATAATATTTTTAAAATATGTTTTAAATTTAGTTATATTTGATAATATTATAATAATTTTTTAAAATATTTATAATATTTTTTACAATTTAAATTATATTATAATTTTTAGATAAAATGATGCATATTGCAAGAGCAGATACTTCTGAACGCAGATTTGAAATTCAATGTAAATTAGAAGCAGAAATAGCTTCTTTAGAAGCATTGAAAGAAGCAGAAGAACGAAGTAGAAAATTAACCAATAATGTTGTAGGAATTCTCTCTTCTTTAGAACAACGTCTTGCTACATTGCGACGTACCATACTTCCTGTTTATAATGAAACAGGAAATCTTCAAGCACAACAACAAAGTATGTTATTAATATAATATTAACATTTTAACATGATCCTATCCTAAACAATAACTTTTTATTGGAATGTTTTTAACAAATCAAAATTTATAATATATATTTTCAATTGATAGTTCACTAAGTTTTTTTAATTTGAAATATTGAATATTTTAAGTATCTATAAAACTATGATAAAATTTATATAAACCAATTAAAAGTTTTTTCAATCTCATATATATAAATTTTTAAATAAACTTTTATTATCCGAACTGAAATTAAGTATAATTTTAATTATATAAAAATATGAATATTTTTATTTATAGATATATTTTTGATTGATAGATATATTTTATTTTTACGGAAAAAGAATAGAATAGAAACATAATATATTAATCTCTTTTTGCCAAGCATCAACATTTCTATTATTTGATCTTAAAATTTCTTTAAATAATTCAGATAAACAATGTTTTACTATAATTAAAAAAATATATCTTTCTCTTTCTCATATGTCAACATATATATGTATATGTATGTATGTGTATGTATATATATATTATGGTTATAAATAATTTTAATAGTTGAAATACTGTGAATAAACTTTTTTTATATAAGATTCTTGCTTTTCTTTTTTTATGATTATGTTATGTTATATATATTTTTATTTTATATAAAATAAATATTATATTATATAATAATATTTGTTATTTTTTTATATGAAGTCAATATAATTTTTCAATATAATAATCATTCAATATAATAAAAAGTAATGAATTAATGAAATTTTCAGAAGTTATCAGTTTGCACATGTTATCATATATAATATATGATTATATTATAATATAAGTACATTTAATGATTAACAAAATGCTTCTTCTACTATAAAAATAATAATAATTTTTGCCAATTAATAATTTTTTAAAAATTTTATTTTAACACTTTTTAATATTTTTTTAATAATTTTTATCTATATAACATTCTTTAAAATCATTATTATTATTAAAATAACTTAATTCTTTATAAAAATTTTTCAAATGTTATAAGGAAATGTGTTTCCTTTGGCTCATTTCGAAGTATAATATATTTCAAAGTAATATAGAAAGAAATAAAATCTGGAAATTTTAGAAAATACATACTAAGCTATTATAATCTATTTATAGATTAAAATTATCATTTATTTAATTTAATATAATCATAAAATAATTGGAATTAAATTTATTTAATATATTACAATTATATATTTTATTATATTAAAATCAAAAATTATATGTTTTATTATTTATGTTTTATTACTTATATTATATTCAATTTTATAAATTATTACTATATAATTACTAATTAATAGAATATTTTAAAAGAAGAAAATGAATCTTAAAGAAAAATCTTATATTTAAAAAATCATTTAATAAGAATATTAAATTTTTCAAAAATAAGTAATTTGCATATAAATTATATAAATGTTATTGATTTTTCTTTTATCATATAATAATACCTATAAATATGTTATTGTTTTTTTTATATTTTTAATTTTTATTATAAATTTTTAATAAAGCTTTGAATGGTCTATATAGTAAATAAATTTTATTGTATCAAGTAAAAAAAAATGTTAGAAATTATTGAAAAAATTTAATCATTAAA